TGAAGAGCTTTCACATCAGCTTGAAACCCAGAGGAAGAGAGCACAGCTTTATCTGCTCTGTAGAGACATATAAAAAGACAGTAACTTTAAATATCCAATGAACAAAAAAAAAACCAAGAATTGATTTAAAGGAAAAACCCTAATAATAATAATTAAGAGGATCAAAGAAAGGTGGTTACAGTTTATGGATCTTAGAGTAATCGCGAGATAGAATACTGTAACCGGTAGACATGCGAGTATCGGCGGCGATGACGCAGTAATCGGATCCAGCGATGGCCACACATGTTCTGAATAGTAAACACAAATCAGTGAACAATCGGGTTAAATAAAGAGGTGAAAGGATACGTTTACCCTCCATTGTTATAGTAAGGAGACCAGTTCGCGTGCTGCTTCGTCATTGAGCTGAGAAAAAAAGGGATTCTTTGGTTAAGGAATTTGGGAGGAACAGAGAGTGTAGGAGAATGAATAAGAGCTTTCTCTCTGTCTTCTGGCTTTGTGAACACGAAAGAGACGAAGACTAAAGCTGATGTGGGCCTTATATGGGCTTTTAGATTGCTGATGACTTTAAAAAAAATACACAACGACGCCGTTTTGGTTCGGCCTCTCTTTCCGAGTCACTCCAAAGTAGGCCTCGGCGTTTCGGGTATCGGTTCGGTTCGGTTCGGGTATTTTGGATTTCGAGTAGTTCGGGTAGGGAGTTAGAGGATCCATTTACTACTTGACCTATTTTCAGTTCGGTTTCGTTCGGATAGTTTCGGGTTCAGTTCGGTTCGGATAATAAAACTAGAAACTAGAAAACACCTAGAAAATTCGGTTCTCATTTGGTTCTGGTCCGAGTTCGGGTAGATTGGGTAAATTATTGGTTATTTAAGATAAAATATCAAATAATTAGAATAATTTAAATACAAATTTTGGATATTTCGGATAAAATTATCCGTAGTTCGGATACTCTATAATTATTAGTTATCTTCCACTATTTCGGATACTTTTAATAAATTTTTAAATTAAAATCATATATTTAGTAATGTAATATGTATATAAAATTAATATTATTATATATTCGGGTATCTGTTCGGTTCTCAGTTCGGTTTGGTTATTTCGGATATATAAATATAAGAACTGTTCAGATATTTGAGGGTCTCGGTTCGGTTTCGATTTCGGATATTTCGTTCTTCGCTTCCGTTTTTTTTGCCCAGGCCTACTCCCAAGCTTCTTCTTCCGTTTGCAACTTCTCTCTCAATCTCTCTTCTTTAACTTGGTCAATCTTTTTTTTTTTTTTTTTTTGGAATTTGAGAATAGTGGAAGCACTAGTTGTGGATTCTGGGTCTAAGCTCCTGAAAGCAGTAGCAGCGATTCCTGATCACTCTCCTCAAATGATAATACCATCTCGAATGAAAAAAATGGAAAAATGGTTGATGATGTGTCTGATAACCCCTCCACTGTTGTTTTTGAAGATGTCACTCTTGACCCTATTGAAAGAGGGTTCATTAGAGAACTGGAGGATCTTTTGCGTTACGTTGTGTACAGTGGGGTTGGATGGGAAGAGGGTAACGAAGGCAATATACTCTTCACTGATCCTCTCTCTACTCCTAAGGTCTGTTTTGTACCTCTTCTTAATGGAAATTTTTTGAACTTTACAAGTTCCATTTCTTATAGTAAATGAAGAAGTTCATTTGTTTCTGTGATTGTGAAAGATATGAACTTTCACTGGAAGCAAGTTGCTCTTAACTTTGCTCTTAATTGAAAAGATAAGAACTTTGCAAGTTGCTTCTTTGACCCATTTTGTTCTTATAGTAAAGGTTGCTAACTTGTTTATGTAAATGATCGTCTGTTTTGTGGGGGCAGGCTATTAGGGAGCAACTGGTGCAGTTAATGTTTGAAACGTTCAATGTTTCTGGATTCTATGCGTCTGAGCAAGCTGTGTTGTGTTTTTATGCTGTTGGGAGGATTTTTGGAAAAGCTTACAAGCTGTGTGTGTTACCCAACTTACAAAACTCTTTTCCCAAGAGCTTGCAAAATCCAACCCTTCTATGAATCTCAGCATCTCTGATGTTGAAAGACTCAAGGAACAGTATGCAAACTGTGCAGAAGATGAGATTGCTTACGAGAAAACCCAAAACTGTGAGACTGAGCAGCACACGCTTCCCGATGGACAGGTTTGTGTGTCTACACCTTGTGTTGCCTTAATACACATAATAACAAAATGTTTGTCTTCTAGGTGATAAGCGTTGGGAGAGAGAGATACTCTGTTGGTGAAGCTTTGTTCCAACCATCAATATTAGGACTTTGATGAGCATGGAATCGTTGAACAGCTCGTCCGGATAAAGAAGATAAAAGAAACAGAACCTACCTGGTCAGAAGAGAAAAATAATGGTAAACTCGTGAAGGTAACTGAAGGTGTGAAGAGTGCGTTACTTGTCTCGTTTGACGTAGCATAATCTGACCCGTTGGATAAAAGCTCTCTTTTATTTTTAACGGACAAGATTTCGTAACGGAACAATAAAGCCTTTAAAATTTTCTCTGAAATGTGATTGGTTAAAAATAAAGTTAAAAGATATTAAAATATTTTTAAAACACAAAGCCCCTCAGACTTATCTCTATTGTCGGAACGAGAACTGAACTTCTTTAAAACACCAAATAATCAAAAAAAACAATTAAATAAAAAACACACACAGAAGAAAGAAGAAGAATCCTTCCTCTTCTCCTCCATCGTCGTCGTCTTCTTCTTCTCCAGAGATGAATCCACACAAAACCGAAGAAGATCTCTTCCACCACCACGATCTCGACCCAACACACATCCTCTCTCAACCCCACCACCATCAAGATCATCAAGAACCAACCTTCTCCCTCCCAGAATTCGTCCTCTTCCGCTCCTCCCCTTCCCCCTCCAACTCCTCCGACGAACAAGACTCCTCCTCAAACCCCAACCCCAAAACCCCCAAACCCACAAGCCCTAGAATCCAAACCCTAACCCTAACCCCACCCCAAACCCTAGAACTCAGAGATTGGGACTACATCAACCCAGAGCCACACATCTCCTCCCAATTCTACACATTCAACTCCGAGTCCCACTCCCTAATGATCCTCTGCCTCCGCGAGGGCCGCCTCGCCACCCCCGCGGAGATCCGAGTCGCCACACCACGCCCCGTGCTCAAATCCTGGCGTTCCGTGTGGAAAGACCGTAACGAAGACACAGCTTATCTCACGGCGTGGAAACGGATCCAGGACAAGCTCACCGCCCGTCTCGATCCAACCTCTGGTAACGAGTTCCTGTGTTTCAAAAACAACACGAGGCAGTTTGTGTCTCATGTTAACCAGTGGCAGGACATTGTCATGGGGTTTCATGGAGATGGGGACTTGAAACATTTAGGGGTTAGAGAGACTATAGACAGGATTAAACAGGTTTGGACCGTTGGGGCCAAGCTGTATGGGATTCCGGAGAGTTTCATTAGGGTTTGTGTTGCTGCCTGTGGGGTTTGTAATGCTGTTTCGGGTTCCGGTTCGCGGAATAAACGGCGGCGTTTTGAGTATACTGAGTCCTTTGATGTGCCTGCTAAGGAAGTTGCTGATAGGTTGCAGGAGTTAGCTGCTAAGCATAAGGTTGTGTTGTGTATTAGGCAGAAGTATATTAGGTATAAACCGTTTATGGCCGAGGTTAAGGATTACGCGTGTCATAGAGCCGGAGAGCCTGGTTCGAAGAAGTCTAGGGTTTTGAAGAGGGAGCCTTATCAGTCTAAGAGGTGTGGGTGTGGGTTTAGGATTAGAGCTATTGTCCCCATTGCTAACTATAATGAGAAGGATAAGAGTTTTGTTTACGAGGAGGAAGGGATGGCTGTTTTTAAGATGTATGCTGTTCATTCGGGTCATGAGCCTGGGGCGATGGATGGGAATGCGAGGATTATGCATCGGCTTGTGGGTCATAAAGGGTTTTTGATGGAGCATGATGTGGTTTATGGTGTGAGGGAGGAGTTGGAGAGTGAAGAAGGTGGTGGAGACGTGCGTTTGAGTGTGTTGCATCAGGTGCATGAGATAAGGAGTGAGCTTGGGACTTTAGAGGGGAAGATTGGGAAGATTCCGGAAGAGATGTTGGGTTCTGTGTCTAGAGAGTTGTTTGAGATGCTTAACAAGATCAGGAACATTGATGAGGAGGGTGTTAAGGGAACTACTACAGGGTTGCTTTCTGATAAGGAGATACTTGTTGGAGATAATGATTTAGCTCATTGGAGTGACCATCATCATCATCACCATGAGCATTTGTATCATGGAGATGGGAAGGATAATACAGAGCTTATTGAAGATGATGAAGACAGTTTCGGGAGGAGCCTTGATGATGTTGTTCCTTGGGAGATAAGGCCACCATCTGGGTGTACAAGTCCAAAGGATATCTTGTCTGAAACATCATGTAAGCCTGAGAAATGGTTAAAGTGCAATGACTTTGATGAGAAGAGCATTCTGAACTGTGAAGAAGATTCTAAGTTAACAAAACCGATGATGAGAGACGATGAAGGTATAGTATCATCAGACGTAGGTTTAGTTGGTATACAAGTGGATAGCTTCTATCAAGAAAACTCGAAATGGTATGATTCTCCTTGTGAAGAAGACAATGGATTCAGACATGGAGAGATTTTGTAGAGACACGGTAAGGTTCTGTCTTTATAACCAGTTTCTAACTCAGCTATCAAACACATCTTCTTGTGTATATCATAACTGGGGGATCAGATTGTATATTTATTGTATTCGATAAGACGGCTTCAAGAGTACTATTTTGTTTGTTATGTTGTAGAGCCTGTAGAGGTTTCTTTTGTTGTGTGGTTATGTATAATGAAACTAATATTGTGTCTCCTGCGTGTATATAACATTGTTGTTAGTCTTATTTATCCTTTGTCTAGATTAACATTTGATACGCATGAGGTTTGTTAATGCTTGCCTTTACACATAGGTATTTCAAATATTGGTTTGCTTTTTTGTAATGAATCTTGTTGTATTTAATTACTCTCTTCTATGTCATACTTGTGTTTGATCATATGCTTATATTGAATCCGGTTTAGATATATTTTTGGTTAAGCTCAAACCAAGAGAAGTTGGTCGGAATTCGATTTCAAATAGGTTCTAAGTAAACTTAAAATAGAGCTTATATCACCAATTCGAGCCCGTTAAAGTGGTTGAGTCTCTCTTGAGTTTCACTTCCCACCAGGGTTCGAATCCATATTGGTACCACTTCCGAGCAATAAGTCTCGAGACCTTCCCAGTTCATTCTGGTGTTTACTGCGCCGGGGGAGACTCCGTGCGGCTTCTTCTTCCACTTGTGGAAAGACCTTTCCCAGTTCATTCTGGCTGATATTCTCAGCCATTGGTTGAGGAGGTAATCTAAATTACCTCTCTTTTGCTCTATTTTTTAGTAAGTATCTTGATTTTACTAAATTGATAGGGTTTTGAATTTCCAACAGTTTGTTTAAAAAAGATATATCTTGATAAGATGTGATTACTTTGCTTCTAATATTAACAATTTTTACTTCTTGTTTGCTTTGTTTCATAGGACCTGAAGCTCCAGTAAGGCTGTAAAGCTGTAAGGATTGATAGTTAGATTGTCAGAAAAGAATGGCATTGTGGTTATCTGTCACACAATTGTCTGAAGAAGCATGATTGAGACTGAACATGTGGAGATTGACACGAAGATGGGTTTGTGTCTTGGATTTACGTTTGTTGTTGCACGAAGCTGACTTCATCGTGGGTTTGCGTGTGTCTGCGAATGATTCTGAAGATCTCAGATACATCTAGTTCTGATTTTGTTCCGCAGAAAAGAACTGAGTAAAGACTAAAGACAATAGGAAAAATAAACTTTACATAGAAACAGATAGAGGGCTTGTGTTTTATAACAGCACATTGGCGTCTTTACTCATAATTGAGGTCCAATTATAAGAAAGATAAAAAGAGCCATGATTCCAAAGAGTCCTACCTCTATAGTCTATATATCAATAGTTCCTATATGAAAATCTAATCATGTGGTATGAATAGAAAAAAAAACATAATTAATTAGGCAAAGGACTATGCCCACTAAAAATTCTTACTCATTTCATTTGTTGATATGTTCTGAGATGAAACCAAATAGACAAAAAAAGAGAATGGTGAAGAAGATTAATACTTACTAAAGAGTAAATGACAAGTTGAAGGAACAAATGAACATCCAGAATCATTAGCATGCTTCAAAATGATCAAAGATGTTATAGTTCTAAACCTATGGTCTCTCTACTATCTGTCACTCTCCACTTATTCTTACAGTAAGCATTGTCTACCCACAAACAAATAGATGATGGATGGGCCATCTTTAAACCATGCATCTAGGCTGGGGGTAATTTATGTAGTTGGTACTGCTTATAGTGATGAGTTATGTTGGTCCAACCAAATCAGAATCACCATGCGCACTCATTATTTCAAGACGGTACCATATATGGATCCCCCATCTAGCTTAGTACTCTGATACATTATGTATTTTTTAATTAGTTAATTATAATAAATAAAACATTCAAATAATCGTTTTACTAGCAAAGAAAAGGTGGATTTATATAAATGTTTATCCACCATCCTTGCACTGCACACACCAGCCTTATCAGAAAAAGATTATACGGTCCTTTAGTAGTCAGCTAGAAGTGAGTTAAGTATCTTCTTTAACTTGGACCTAACACTAGTGTCGGTGATGTGGGAATAGTTATAAACATAAGCCCATTGGACTCTAGAGAAATACTAATATTATTATTATTTTAAAAAGAAAATGATAAAGAACGTGGACCCGAAGGGACACTCTCTTCTCACTTCACTCCACGACCACGTGGGACATTTATTAAGTTCAATTTCCAACGGTCCTTTGCCTTTTAGTTACTTAATTTTCTAAGAAAAATCCACATATTTAACTAATTTCACGTTGCATTGCCCAATGATAAGTGTGTTTACTTTTCGTAATTGTAAATGTACCAAAGATCAAGACAAAAAACCTCAAACTAGAAAGTTAAAGTTTCAACAATAATAACACCAAAACGAAACAAAAGCAATCAACCAAATCTAAATTAATTAAAAAGAAGATGAACTTAAACCTCACTCTCTAATCCCAGTCTTAACAAACAGAATAACACACAAAAAAAAAATTAGAAAATAAACAAAAGGGAGTGGCAGTCTACGTAATTATGAGAGCTTCCAAGGGTGGGTTGGTTCACAGCAACAGAGATGTGGCGGCAAGTGTGACCAATACGGTGCCGTACGCAGAACCCCTCACGTGAAACGCCGCGTTTTTAGCATTGCTGTCCTCCGAACTTGTCGGCGAGTCTGACGGAGCTCCTTCCGGCGAATCATCCACCGGAGGAGCCGGCGGAGACGCAGCAACCGGCGACGGCGCTTCCGCCGGAGACGGTGACTTAGCCGGAGACGGCGTCGGTGCACTCACCGGTTCCGGCGCCGGCGCCGGCGACGGCGATTTCCCGAAAAGCTCCGTCGGGAGGAGAACTTTATCCACCGTGAATATCACCACCGGCGTCTCATCAACCACCGTATCGGCAAGCCTCGACGGACCAACTCCGGTGTGGAGAACAACCTCATCGCCGGAAGTTGACGTCGTTAAATCGTATTTTCCCGCGCCGTTAGTTGCCAACGTGGAGATGGCTTCTTTATTAGTCTTCAACGACCCTTTTGGGTTTGTACTCAGCCAAGGCGTGATACTCTAGGAGCGAGACCACCTCAGCTTGCGTGAGCCTCGTCAGATCCGGTACGCCTTTCGCTCTAAAAGCTTCATCGGACGGTGCGAAAACAGTCAACCCTTTTTCAACGGTTGACACGTAGGTTTTCACCACCCCGCTTGATACGAGTAAGCCCGCGAACGTTTTACACCCCGCTCTCTCGAGAAGCCCCGTGAGGTTGTTGAGCCCGTCGGAGGAAGGGGCCGGAGCGGTTAAGATTCCGGGAGCGATGATCGGAGCGTCGATTTCGAGGACGGAGATGTTGTAAGGTATCTGTTTAACTGACTTCGTGTAGGTGGAAGCGAGCTTGGAGCCAGGAGAGGCGGAGCCGAAGCCGACTTTACCGCCTTTGAGATCGGTGACGTTGACGAAGCCGAGGTTTCCGGGGGCGTTGCCGGTGGTTTGGTAGAGAGTGGTGACGAGAGTGGTGCCTTGGGAGATTTTGTGGAGTTTTATGGGGTCGTAGTAGTCGAGGAGGAGGAGGAGGGATAGGGCGTTTTTGACGACGGAGAGGGGGTGTTTTCCGGCGAGGGAGGACATGGCGTTGTTGTTGAGGACGAGGAGGGTGATGGTGGTGCGGCTGTTGATTTCGTCGGCGAGTTTGGTTTGGGAGAGGTAGGTGTTGAAGGAGGAGTAGTCTGGTGATTCGGAGAGGATTTGGGTGATGTTGTGGGCGGAGACGGTGGAGAGTAGGGTGAGGAGAGCGAGGAGAGAGAGGGAGGCACGTGATGGAGAAGCCATTGAGTTTGAGTTGAAGTGTGTGTCGGAGAAAGAGGAAAGTGAGAAGACAGGAGTTAAAAAGAGGAAAGAAATGAGATTTAAACCATGGTTGGGTTAAAAGACTTTAACACTGGTTGGTTTGAGAACACGTGCTTTTTGTTATAAAGCCTGTAATCACGCAAATGGGCTTTTGGGCTTTGTTAACTTAGGTTGTTATACCTACAAAAGCAACCGTTTATGTCATTATTATGAACTAGATTTGGACCCGCGCGCCCGCGCGGGTGTTTATGTTCTTTTAATACAATTTTCTTTCTATGTTTGGTAATATATATTTGAAACATTTGTAGGCTTCCAATAGTTTGTATGATCGATATCTTCCCCTCCTTGACAGTTTCTTAGGGAATTAAATAACAAAGTTTCAATCCGCTCTTATGTGCATGTGTGTGGGTTGTAAGTTCCTCTCTAGTTTATATTTTTTGTTTGTGTTGTGATCATTTTTCCCAGAGTGAATTTTAGCTGCCTGTTTGTTGGGTTCTTGTTTTTAAGAATTTCATGTTTTTCGCCAGCTTGTATATCAGAATTTTGTTTTCACCTTTGGATGAATATTATTTTGTGGAGAAAATATATATTTGAAACATTTGAGTACGATATATATATTTGTTTAATATGATAATGTTGTACATATAAGAAACTTGTGGTTTATAGTAGACATTTTTTTATTGTATATAGCCCAAAAGTTAGTACTCTTCTGTTTATATATTCAAAGCATTTGGTATGTGATTTCTTATAAAATTTCTGTGTTTTACATTTTTAGCTATAAGTAATATAAAACTAAGAATATCTTAAAGTACCTTAACAATATTTTGTTGCACAATATTATTAAGTATTAAATTAAATAAAAAATATTGTTCAAAAAAAAAATTAAAATAATTTACGAAAAAACGTTGGAGGCATTGGTTAGTACTTGAGATATTCATTTTTAAAGTTACGTTTCATGAGATAGTCATATTTAAAGTTACATTTTTAAAGCGTTAAAAGCATGCTTAGTGATAAACTTGATATTGTATGCTTCTATTAATAAACTGAATCCACAATATGATATTGTTTTCTTTTTTTATCTAGCTGCTGATAATATTATTGGAAAACCAATGAAATTTAACTGATCACAAATAAAGACAATAGACTTTGCCAAACATCTGGAACAAAGCACGGTAAGTACAATTTTCTAAAAGCCATATATCGTATAAGAATTAATATTGAATGTGATTATATCATGATTATCATTGGCTAGCATGCGTTTCATTCTAAGCTAATATTATTTTTGCTTACTCTGCAGTAGAGTTATAATTAATAGTTAGACAAAACACATAGGCGATTGATGTTATTGCTTCTTAGAAAAAACAAAGAGTTTATATGATTTCAAGCATTTTTTTGTTTGAATAAAATGTACATGTTGGAGAAAAAATCAATGCTGGAGAGTCACATAGATCAATTCATGTGCCACAATACACAACCAAAAACTGGTTAGTAATATCGTACTTCTTGAATTTAGAAAGTAGTTCATTGCTTGCGTAGGTTAAATCTGCAAAATTCAAATAAGTCTGCATAGGAGCAACTGCCATATCATGCCCAAGCATATGACTGGCAGATTGTTGCATAAAATGGTTTGCTGTTAAGATTGAATTTTATATGTCTAAAACAAAAACAAAATGATATTGTAGACAATATGTGGTTCACATAAATCCACTGCCTTGCGTAGGTTATGGCTGCAATGATTTAATATGTCTTAGACAAACAACATCATAATTTATTTACTATGATGAAATCGAATCTATTGACTTTTCAATAATAGATGTTTGTGTAAGAAAATTAGTAGTTTATATAGCGAGAAGTAACTTACTGTTTGGTCAGCAAAGAATGCACTCAAGTGTCTCCCCTCCATAACTCCTGTTTTGCTTCCACAAGTGTAGAGCTTCACTTGTATTGGCAATCGGTTTTATTCGGTTTTACATCTTTAAGGAGTGTAACATCTCTTTGGGTCCCCGTTTTTATTGGTGTTTTGAGGATGTGTTATAGTGAAGAGATTTATGTATATGCAAGTAGATGACGCCTAAATAGCAAATATGTTTAATATCGTATTTAATTAGGCTATATTTGGGCGAGATTATAGGGAATATAAATTAGAAGATTCCTTTTTAAAATGTGTGATTTTCGTATATAGCGGTTATATTCTGTATATCAACTTATGGAAGATGAAAATGATTGGTACCACAAAATAGATATTTTATATCAATTAGTGGTTATCTAAATTTTAGGAAGTTTTGTTACGAATTTATTATTATAAACATAAATGAAACTTTATTTTGATTTCCCAGATTTACGATAGAGATTTTGGTTTCAGTTAGTAGATTATATTTCTGCATATAATTTATTCCATATTTGATTGTGAAAACGTAGATATTTTATACATGCAAGATATTGGCTGAATAGGTAATATTAAGTTTTACTATATAGGTAATGGCCGTGAAGAATCATATACGATAGTAATATTTATAATATACATATACAATCAATATGATTATATTGTCTAAGAATTCAAAATCTGTTTTTAATTAAATTCTAAGATACATCTCAAATAATGATTGTTCTTCATTATATAGGTAATGGGCTTCGCTAATACGTAAGAATGAAGCCCAGCACGATTAATTTAAGGTTCAGCGTAGGTTTGTTTGGCAAAGTTTCGAAACTACTGTGTTTAAGCTAATGGTATTAGGTTGTAATTATTTAGGAAAATTAGGGTCAAATCTTATTTGTACTTCTGTTTTAATAGTTTAGATAACGTCTTCACTATCATTTTTGTTAGACTATACTCTAATACATAATCGTTTTTGTTTTCAACATTTTTTTTTAACACATTACCTTCTCGTTAATAATTTATTTTAGTATTCATTCAATTTGTATAGTTTATAGTGTTTAATATCAATGTGTAATATGAATGAAGTCCGTAGGTTATAACCCACTTATATCATCTTTCTATATTAGCGTTAAATATAGTCAGAATCAAATTTAATTGGTCATCAGTAGTTGGTAGTTTGGTACTATCTTTTTCTAAAGTGGAGAAGAAGGTTCTGATTACCGACAAAATCATCAGCGGTAAACAAATCATTTCACAAAATAAATAAATAATTTACTTTACTAGAATTAAAAACGAAAAAAAATAGAATATTTTAGTAGTCCTACAAAATCTAAAAAGTTAAATAAATACATTAAAAATGCAGAAGTTTTATAAAAAAAATTTAAACTCAACCACCCCAAATTAGTAACCACTAAGTGGTGTGTGTGTGTGGGGATGATGTTCCTCGGCTCTAAGTGCTTCGAGAATGTTGGGTGAAGTTAGCAGGTTTACATAGTTATTTAGCACCACCTGAAGTCATCGATCATCATATTAATCTGCCATTATTGGATTCACCTATTAACATTGAACATATATTAATTAACCGACACAACTTTATATTTTCCATTTATGTAGGCTGATTAAACCTGGAGGAACCTATTTCTTGGTATGTATACTTTGCTATGATTGTATACTTGTGTGTATGTTAGATAACCTATGGTGATCCCAAAGTGAGAATGCCTCATTTGACTCGTTCTGCATACAATTGGAAGATCTCTTTATATATACTATGTAAGCTTCCACTTCTTTTTACAAGTAATGCTTCTTACGATATGCACTCTTTGCTTCAGTGTCCTAAGCCCTTTTCATTTCGTTGCAGCAAGACCAGGGTTTAAGAAGCATATGTTCTATGTGTCTGTGTAATCTATATTTCAATTGAATAATATGTCTGAGCCTAAATTGCTCAATCAATAACTCTAAAGTGTTTATACTCTCTTTTATATGAATAAAACATATTTTCAAATTCTAAAACTTATTTATTTCATCACAAACAACAAACAGAATCTTAGGAAAAAGGGTTGATTGCATTTTTCATTCAGAGCCAAGCTTCTGATCCACCACCTTTGAGCTTAGCTATAAGAAGTTTGAAGCAAAAGTAAATGCTGATTAATAAACCATCTTACTAGTAAAGTAAATAATGAAGAAGCTCAAAAATTGTCAACAGGGAAGCAAAAACTTACAGCAGGATTGGTGAAGATGATCAACTGTTTGTCTTCGGTGGAAACTAAGAGGTTAGTGTTGTCTATGTTCAGAGCCATAGCTGTTACATCCTGGCCTTCACCAAGCTTCATCACATGGAATGCCTACAGAAGATGATACATCTTGTTTTTGTTACACAAACAAAACTATGACATCAAGAGTTTGAATAGTATTGTTACCTTGAGAGTGTATAAGTTAAGGAAGCAAATTGAAGGAGATGGGATGTCAATCTCATTGGCTCCACTTGATGAATCTTGTTCAGCAGTGTCTGAGAATGAGTTCACACTAATCACAGCACTTTGGCCGTCTAGTGATAGTTCCATGCAGCTTATGTTACATGAGGAAGGAAGCTTGGCTTTGGCAATGAGAGCTCCGTTAATGGTGAAGGTGGTGATAGAGTTATCTGATCTACTCCAGACAACTATAACACCATCAGAAGAAACACAGAGAGCATGTGCCTTGACTCCCACAAGCCGTCTTATTAGCCGACCGTTTCTTACAGAATGCAATAACACATCAGATGATTCAGATGAAGACACAACGATCCCTTGTTCTGAGCTAACACAGCAACATGTTATCTCTCTTAGGTGGCCATGGAGAACTTGTATTGGCCCTTCAATGCGACGCTTTTTGGTGTTGCTTGTGGAGGAAGTTGTTGTCTCAGAGCTTTTGTTCTGTTCTGACTCATTTGTCTGAGAGATGACTCCCTTGTGAAGTTTCCACAGCATAAGAGTTGTGTCTCGTGAACCTGTCACAAGGAAGTTGCTGTCTGGAGACAAAGCTAGACATGTTACAGGACCACAGTGACCAAAAGCTGTTTCAAGTGTTTTTGCTCCATCTGATGAGACTAGCTTGATGCTGTTATCCACATGTCCACCTAATCAACATACATTATATCAATCACCAAACATTCACAGAAATCATAGAAGTTCTGGGCATTAGGATTTTTGGTTCGGGGTGGTTCGGATTATTTGGTTTTTGGGTTCCTCGGGTCGGGGTGAATAAGACCCCTTTAGGAATCATAAATTTTTCGGATCAGATTAGTTTGGGTAATGTGGCTCGGATCGAGTTTTCTATTTTTTATAAAACCTGAAGTGGAACCGAACTAGAAATAGTTTGGGTTTAAAGAAAAAGTTAAAGCAAACAAACTCAAAAAATCTGAAAACCCGAAATAACATTCAGGTAATTCGGTAACTCGGATTTTGTTAGATATTTTTTACTTACAAATTTTTATATATAGAAAAAATAATTAAGATATTTATTATATTTTGAATATTTGGTTATTCGTTTGGTTTTCAGTTCAATTTCAGATTTTTGGCTTTTATAGCTTTGGTCCGGTTTCGATTTTAGGTTTTTCGGTTCCGATTTGGTTTTTGGATAATATGGCCAGGACTAGATCAGAGACTTTAACAAAAACCTGCATACCAGTTATAACTTCTCCATCACTTGTAATAGCAGTGACCGAGGAACTTCTGATTCCTAATGAGGCAAATGCATGTGCTTGAGGATAATCTGAATCACCCTTGAACATGCGTGTTAGTGCCCCTCCAGCCTTCCCATGATGAAATATGAAAGGAACATTGTTGCCATCAGGAGTGTTAGGTTGCCACTTGTGATGTGCAATATGTGCTGCAGGCACGTTCATGTCAACGACCACAACACTATCAGAAGTGGCTTTGATGGCTGAAGCAGGTAAGTTACAGTGTTCTGGAGATGGAACATGATATGGTCTTATCTCTTTTGGATTCTTAAAGATAGTCTGCATGTGAAGGACATCTTTTAAAGGCATTCTTTTGATGTGAGGGGCAGTTAATAGCTGAGATGGTGTTTGTCCAAAAGAAGAAATCTTGTCCTGAGTAGCTCTTTGTTTTACCTTCATGAAAAGATCCAACATGCAAACAAAGTCATGTAATAAACTGAGTAACTTTCAAGAGTGATGCAATAAAGATGACTTACAGGATCTGTGATCTTATCAATATTAACATTCCCCTCGTATGTAGTGTAGAAGAAAACGTTATTGGACTGTATAGCTTCTTCACCACGTTGCTTATACCCAAAAATGAGATCAATCCATTCATGTAAATGTGCAGAGACATGTTCACTCTCTAGAGCCATTCGTTGCTTGTGTATAAAGTCTATTGGGTTCTTAGCCCAAGGAGGAAGTTTTACAGAATCTGATGAGGTCAAGAAACAACATTTCATGAGTAATATTTCGTTAGGACAAGGTAGGACAAGGAAGTGAACACATGAATAAAATAAAAAACTCATACCAAGCTTATCTCCCAACTGTGTTGTACCAAAGTTGATTAAGTTCTCGTTGGTCAATACCTCAGGAAGGTAAAACAACTCTGGAACCTGCCAAAGAAAAAAAAGAAGATGAAAGTGATTAAAGGTATTTGGCTTGGTGTTTTTGGGAACCAACAAATCTTTACCAGCTCCTTGACATTACTCATATCTTGGAGAACACCTTTCCAAGTGGCTGCAATGTCTGAAAACATTCGGTCAAACTTTCCACCTTGTTCTTGAACTGAAAGAGTTGTAAAAGGTTCCACTCTAGCTAGATAATACAACACCTATACCACATGAGATTATAAAAAAATAGTAAACCATCATGAGAAAGATGCTAAAACATTGCAGTACAGGGAAGATAACATACTGTTGTAGCATTAGAGTAATGTGAATCATAATGAAACTTGGGGATGATTGGATCTTTAAAGTTTGAATACTGTTCTTGAAACTTCTTTAACCTCTCCGGGTTCAATGCACCAATTGGCTGAACATATACATACACCACATTACAAAAATTAATCTAATTTTATGGACCTGCATGCTTAGTCCCAAACTATAAGTAGTACTACCTTGGAAAGATCTCTGTAGTTAGATTGGTTTGTAAGGTCCAGAACTTCTGATACATAGTCAGACAGAACCCATGGGAAGACAGGATACTACAAAAGACATACATTAGTATGTTGAGATAACAAAAACATAGATGATGCTTAACACTAGCACAAGATTTACCTGAGTGATGTCATTATAACTACGTCCAGCTAATGTGTTGAGCTGCATTAAGTACTCAAAGTTGCTGATCTGCAAACAGCAAGAGTTACTTAAGATGTGAAAATGAAATAACATGTTGAGAGTGAAAGATTTTTTGTTTTTGTTTTACCTCCCATCTAGCCCATTTTTCCATTAACTGAGTTCTTCTCAAAAGCTGTTCTGGACTCTATAACAGAAACCATTTATGTAAGCTTTGGAGCACAGAGAGAAACTTTAAGGTTGAGAAAAACATACTAACCTGAGTTGTCAAGTATATATGATTTAAATGAGGAGGCCTTGCTTGAACAATGGTCTTATACGCCTCTCTTCTTCCCTCAGTGTTCTATGATGTTCATCAAAGTTCAGAAAGAAACTTGAAGAGATTAAATAATAATGTAACAGAGAGAGTGTTTTTTATTTTATTTTCAGTTACCCCAAAATCAAATAAGAAGTTTGAACGGTCGACCATAAATATTTCAAGAGCAGTCTTTCTCAGTTCATATCTGTATATTAGCAAATAGATCATCAAAAGGTTTTCTATAACACAATAAAAAAAGAGAGTAAATAGTGATGAAACTGTACCTTCTGCTATAAATCTGATGAAGAGAAGACATTAGCCAACTACGGTCTCTTTCTTGGTTCCTTGATTCTGAGCCATCTGACTTACCATCTACATGTTGGCCTTCACTCATATCAACAAGAAAATTTATTCTCTTTGTTGTAATCTGAAAAAGGCAGAAGACAACCATCAGAAACTACATAACATTTTACATAATCTAGTTGGTTATGTTCTGTTTTGTTTCTTGGTCACTCAATACTAAAGCATACCTGAAAGGTTCCTTTCACAACCCTTAGTGGTCTGACCATAGAAGAGGAAACTTCAAGAACAATCCTTTCATCAAGCTCCTTGAGAACTACTTCTTTAGAATCCTGAACCACATCTTGGTCACTCAATGGTCTAGGATCACTGATTCCAGTTGAAAGTTGTATTGCATCCTCAAGTGAACCAGACATCCTCTCTTCATTTTTGTGTTCTCCAACATCTCCCTCTATTTCAACATCATCTTCATCTCCATGTGCATCATCCTCTTCACACATTATAATCTTCTTTGATATTGCTTCTTCAACAAGAAACTCTGCACTTGATGGACAACTCAAGTTTCTTGCTGCCTCAAGATGATTAGTATCAGAATAATTCCTCCTTAAACACTGTCTCATCCTCAAAGAACTCTCCATAGAATCCAGTTTCCACAAAACCTGTTTGGGACTGCATAGATTGTCTCCAAAGGGTCCAAAGAAGCATCTCATCTCCACCAAGTAACGTACTAGCTTTCTCCAACTACGAACTCCCATGCATAAGCGATTCCTCACTATATTATCATCTCTTATACGCCTGTCAATCTCAGATCTCTGCATGTTTCTTGCTAAGGCAAAGCTTGCAACAAGCACAGCAATAAACTTGTAAGACAAGGCATTAAAGTCTTTCCCATAAACTGATTTTGTATCCACTGGCTGTAGACACTCCATCCACGCTACTCCCATGGCTTCAGAGACATTCCATCTCTGTAACCGCTCCATATCACTAATAGTCCTTCTCTGCGAGGACGTGGCCATGGCCACAGCACTAAGGCCTCTACCAGAACCAATCTTGGCATTACGTTCAAGATCTCTTGCAGCAGCCAGAGCAGCCGCTTTTGCAGCAGCTTTATCTCTTGGTTTACCTGGTGTGTCATCTTTTGGAGCCTGCAAGGGCTTCTGGAAGCTTGAAAAGGTTTGGAGTTTTGTAGTCTTACGCTCAAGCAATGAAGTGTCTCTCCTAAGAGCTGGTGGTGCTGGTGGCGCTGGAGGTGCTGGTGCTTCCCAACCAGCTGCTCCTGCGGCTACCATGGCTAGTGCCATTGCAGAAGGTGGAGATGCAAAAGCAGCTGCCCACTCCGGAGATATCATAGAGAGAGCAGCCTAGGATAACAACATCACAGTTTAGTAACACACAATAAACTTGGAATAAACCATTGTCAACAGAGTTGTGTAACCTCAATGGGGAGTGCATCAGCAGCTAAAGCATGATCATCAACTACAAGGGGGTTCACACCATCACCAGTGGCGAGTTCTTGAATGCCAGCAAGAAGAGGTCTCCACCTCCTGAGAATCGCAACAAATGGTGGTAAAATAGCTTCTAGATACTGCTTTCTTAGTGGCCTTTTGTCTCTACTGACAGCAAGCCATACCTGCAACAGACTTGGAATCAGAAAAATGGAAAAAAAAAAACACTCAAAATAATACAAAATACCAACCTCAGAATATAGAACACATGTAGTAACCAATACTCTCTGCCTCTTTGAATCAGATATTGGCATGTTTAGAACCGGAGAGAGGACACTAGAGATTAAAGAAACAGTCACTTTAGCTTCTGTAAAATAAAATATATAGAGTAGTATCAAACATCAAAAGATGTTTACCTCCACAATAAAGCTGATGGTGAGATCTTGGAACTGATATCTAATGAGACAGGATCAGAAGAACCATCTTCAGAACTTAGATTTTTCATCAACAGACTATCTTCACCATGGTCTTCTTCCCTCAAATACAAAAGCACCATCCTAAGCATGCATAAGAAAGGCTGATCACTATCCAGCAACTGGTAAAGAGCTGACATCCCTCCCATGCCAGTACCAGACCCTCCACCAATCCCTAAACCACCTCCAAGTCCAGACTCATCTAGCAGCAACGCTTGAAGCATTGTTACTGATTTTTTAACCAGTGGATGTTCAATCCAGTTTCCATTAGCATCTTTTTGTAAAGCAGATCTCCAAGAGTCCCAACCACTTCCACCACCACCAAAACAAGTTATCTTTGGAGGGAGGCCAACACCAAACCATAATCTACTCCTGTACTTCCAACTCTCAGCTAAGTCCATTGTACAGCTTCCATATGAAACAAAAGCGCAAGAAACAGATTCATAGGGCTCAGCTGCTGCTGCTGCAGCTAGACGCTCCATTACTGCTGTAGATATCTGGCCATTTGGATCAGCCATTGAAGCAAGTATCTGAAGAACAAGTAAAAAAAAAAAACTTGAGTACCCTCAAAATAGATGGTTGAGAGTAGTTTTTTTACTTACATCTAAATGAACCCCTCCGGAATCACTGGACACTGAAGCTCGGCTACTAGAAACCTCTGAGGATTCTACTACTGTTGTCAATGTCTGTGAACGGTTGTTAATAGGATAAACAAGAGAGAGAGGAGATGGAGAAATATCAACTGCGTTAGCAGCACAGTTTTGCTTGCTTTGTAGTCGCAGATGATCTTCCACAAGCATCAAAATCACAATTGTGTTTTCCACAAGAAACACTGAAAGCTGAGCAGCATTGTCTACTCCAGCCTTTGCATCTTTTGGTGCTAGACTCTCTGCTGCAAAACCAGCAGATGCTGCAGCAATAACTTGAGTCTGCAAAAGCTTAACGTCTTTATGATTTTGTAATAAAGCGAAGAAACAAAAAAGGTTTAGTGTAAAACATGAGTTACCTGAGCTTGTAGTTCTCTGGTAGCAAAGTCTAACAATCCACCTAGAAGCCTTCTTTTGAATATTGGTAGTGATTCCTCACGCCTTAAAAAGGTATAAGTGAACAAGAAGTTTAAAAACAATGTCACAGAAACATGTATCTCTCAACAACAAAAAACAGAGATGTGCATGAACAATACCTTATTCGCTTCTCTCCAGTGCTAGACCCACCAACAATAGAGAGCCACTCTGCACAATGAATTGTAGCCTCAATATCCTGTAAAAGGAAGGAGATGTAACAATTCCAAAACAAGGTGGAAATGAATTAATATGGTAGACAATTAAATAAAAAAATTTACCTTCCAACCATCTTTCTGGCGCATTGAGTATTGTAACATTATGATCAAGAAGCTATGAATAAGATCTTCCACTTCATCAGAGCTAGGTGAAGCAGATTGTTTCCCTGCATCTTTCTGTGTGTACATAGAATAGTCAGCATATCTAGAGAGCTTGTTGTAACATGCTCCAATCACTTGCCAGATAGAAATTCAATTTACCCTATCAAGCTAGCATACATATATAGCCAACCATGGAGAGAAACTTGAAAGGACAGTCATACCTCGTAGTTTGAGATCAAAATCTCCAAGATCCACTCAGGCCACTCTTCCATTTTTGTCAGGCTGCTCCTATTTTCCGGATGAGTACAAGCCAAAAACAGAATATCCTGACATATATAGAGTGAGTTCAGAAAGAGTATATCAGTAAACAAGAGATCAACAATACTAAATATGGGTTAAGATGTCTCCAAAGCACTTGGCAAAGTGCATTTTGGTTCATATTCTTCCTTCTTAGAAGTAGTCATGGACCGGCACAAAAGTGGCAATCATACCTGAAGTGCTCTATGTTGTAGAGCCTTAGATGCGTATGGTAAAGAACGCAGGAGGATTAACAGAAGCTGAGGGTGTTCAAAGCGCTGAACCGAATCATAAAACTTCAGGCCATCCTCAGGTGATGAAGCTTTAATCTGCATATGAAATTAAAGAGTAAGTGTAGTAGTATAGTACTAATGACATGATAATCACATTATATTATATGAAGATCAGACAAAGAACTGAGGAAACATAACTTACCGAAGCACCAAGCAGAGATTTATAAGCCTTGTCAGTCATCAGCCTGTTTGGAGCTGCTTGAAATGCTTTCAAGAGAGCAAAAAGAAGCAATGAGACTTTATCATCAAACATTGTTCCATTCGCACTACCCATTAGGTTACTCATGACATCAGATTCAGCACCAAGAGAAAGTTTCAAGTGCCCTTGTGAAATCAAGGCACCTATCAATCTTATGATCATAACCACAACACGGTCACTATCATCAACATTGCTTCTTGCATTGTTCCTTGTGTTGTTACTGGGCAGAGTTTCAGAAACAGAGGATGTTCTGTCAGCAACATTCATGGTTTCTGAGATGGTAACTGAATCACTTTCAGAATGAACTTTTTCTTGTGGAACTGAATCTGTTTCTTCATTATCATCATGAGCATGAGTGTCTTGTGGAACTGATTCCAACTGCTTCAACAAGCTAGGCTCATTGTGCTGATCATTTTCTCTATGATCAGTCTGCACGCTTGGTTCATCCTTAGCCACAGATTCTACAACATTGTCATCACCTGTTTTAGCTTCTCTCTGCAGCAGAACAAGAAGTGTTTCTATCCCACCAGATGTAATAAATGCCTCTGCAAATGTCTGAGCCTTTGCAGCATTTGGCTGCACAACCAACCTAAACATGAGATGCAACACTCTTGCAACCTGAAATAGAGGTAACAATAGAACCATGTCAGAGCAAAAATATCAAAAGATCTGAGACGTAACATCTACTACAAGTAAGTTACCTGATTTGGCTGTGGACTATCAACTATAAAACCAAGTAACCTATGAACATCAGCAGGAGCAAAAGAAGGAGAAGCTGCTCCCATTAAAAGCTCAATAATCACAAGAAGCTCATCAACCAAAGCATTAACTTCTCCCATGTGACGCACATCTCCATCTAGAGAAAAGCTGTTCACAGAGTCTTTCTCTTGAATAGTCCAGTAACATCTCCTACACCCATCTAAAAGTATCTGAATAGCATCAGCATTCCTCATAGCTGTAGCTTCAGTAAACACCATATCTTGAAGAGAAGACAACAACTTCTTCTGAAGTCTGTAATCACACACACTCCATATCTTGAGATCCAATAATAATGTCCGGAAGAGCTGCACTTTGAGTGCATGGTTGATCTTCTGAGATTGACAAACCGAAACAATGGCAGCAACTAACTCCTCATCTTCTACTCTAAGGGATGCAAGTGAGTGAAGAAGGTAACCAAGTATAGTGGCAAGAATCTCAGGGCCTCTAGTACGAGAGAGCTCTTGATTGTTCCCAGGGTGTTGGATAGCAACTGAGATGATTCTAAAGATAGGTGCAGCTAGAGAGTATGTAGTCAAAGGCAGAGGGAGATCTCTAGAAGATGGTTCCAAGCTATCTTTAACCACATTGGTAACTGTTAGAGGAAGCAAAGACATTGGTCCTCCATAAGCTAAGGCCCAGAAAGACTCCCCTGCCTTCATTCTTGTTGCAACATGCACTTGTCCTATCACTTCAGCTGGTCTTCTTATAGTACCTTAACCAAAAAAAAAACAAATAACAGATATTTTTCAATACTATAAACGCTAGGTGTTTCTCTCGTGTTCATGCACGAATATAAATATTTTATTATATACTAAAAAGAGAATCAAGAGGGTAATCAATGGTACCTGTAGCTCCAGAAAGAGAAGCATCTGGACAAAACCTTCCATTAAGTAAACATGGATGGTAAAGTAGATGAATGTATACTCCAAGCTCTGAATCCAAAAGACAGCTTTCCTCTGCCGCAATTCGGACATGGTCACTTGTAGCTAACCATGGAAGACCAGCCCCATTGCCAAAACAAGGCAACACATCACCACCTCTAGAAGCCAACTTTGTCATTCTTTCAGGACCAATAGGTTCTTTAAATATATAAACTGGCCCCATCTCAGCAAACAAAGCACACCGGCGACGACGACGGTTTAGTAGACTAGGAGTTGTAGGAGGAGGAGGAGGGTTTGAACCAATGCAACAAGAGGAAAGTGGTTTGGATATACGAGGAAACTCAAAAGGAAGAGTCTCATACAAGGAACCATCAATATAGAGACGTAACTCACTCTCTGAGTTACCTAAGAGTCCTTGGTTACCATTAGTATGTTCAAGACCAATAAAGTACCAACACTGAGGCTTAAAGGCATGAGTGAAATGCAATGAGTTTTTACTTCCTTTACCATTACTACTCTCAACTACTAAAAACTGTGCGTAGAAATAAACCTCTATCCCTTGGTTATTTTCAGGAGTCAAGAAGCTGAAGAGACGTGGCATGTGACCAGTACCTTCACCAGTATGTACATTAGCAGCAGATGTGTTTCCTGACTTAGCCGCAGAAGCAGCAGCAATGGCGGCTG